TTTGTCAGGGGCGGGGCCATGATAACATTTTTTTATGTCTTGACTTGAGGAACATGTGTACCAAATCTCATGTTCTACGACAAACTTGACCTCTGAAACTCCCATTGGCTGTTGTAGGTGGCGCTGTTCTGGCATTTTTTGAGTCCCATAAAAATAAACACCAAAATATCAAATTTTTCACCAGGTCTGATTTTTGGTCAAAATTTTACAACTTTTCATGCATGTTCAGGGGGTGAAATTAAGGCTCAAAGTGCAGAATTTGACATCTCTCGAGCAAAAACAATAGGCCCTTTCCCCGTTCGGGGCTCGGGCTAATAAAAAAGGAATTTTTTTTTAACGTCTCGAGCAAAAACAATATAGGTTTCAATGGCATGTGATACATCATTTTAAAGCTTTTGAGTTTACGCACGCAACTGTCACATTTTGGTGAGTGACGGGCGCTGACGCGTCCGTCACGCACCGCCACCATTTGTTTTCACCATTGTGAAAGCAATAGGCCCTTACCCCGTTCGGGGCTCGGGCCTAAAAACAACCGTTTCAGAGCCAGGACTCCAGACTGCTACATGTCATCTTGATCGGGCCGAGCCCAAGGTTAGGTTGAAATGAATGAATGTTTTATTTGGACATTCGAGATGAGAAAAACAAAACAAAAGCAGAGTAATTATACATTGATTATGCTTAATAAATAAACAATCGATGTCCAAAATAGGAGTGGGAAGAAGTAAAAAAAAAAAACGTATGTAATTTCACCCCTACTTACAACTTTGATTTTACAATATAAATAATATCTTCCTTTACCATTTGCAACCTAGAGCTTAGACATTTTTAACATGCTTCGCGAACATATTCATCAAAAATAATGACTATGTATCTTTTTTTAAACTAATGTTTGACATTTTTTAAGTTCCTCGTCCAATTTATCCAATTATTTTTATTCCACTGACAGAAACACAAAAGCTTTTTGATGTGGGGCAGACCTTTTTAAATTGAAAAAAAAAAAAAAATTATATATATATATATATATATATATATATATATATTATTTGTTTCCCTTTCAATAAACATATTCTGGATGCATGTGTGCAGCTGTTTCTAGCTCTGAATAGAGTTTGAAGTGTTTGCAAATCAATCAGGTCATGAATCTATTATTTTTGACTGAATGAATAATGCGTTGGTGTGATCTCTGTATCCGGCGTTATTGATGATTCTTATTGCCTTTTTGCAGATTGAAGAGTGGATTTAGTAACTAAACAGTAACTAAAATATGGTGAAATTAGTGAATAGTATAATGTGGTGATTTTGTATCCAATATAAATTTAGCTTTGTTATCATCAATTATGACTCCCAGAAATGTATTTTCTGTGACTCTTTCCATTTCAACACCTTCTATTTCAAGTGTTACTTCTTCCTTATCTTTAAGATAAAAGAAAAAACATAATTTTAGTTTTGTAGTGCACCTCCAACAACCTGAACTCTTGCAAGGCATGCATTTTTGATTTCCCTTTACTATTTGGGCTCATTGGGACCTGATGATAGAAATAAAGAATAATCTTTTTGCGTGATACAGTTTGAGAAATTATGTCCACTTATGTGTTTTAAATTTCAGTAAAACGCATGAAAGCCACAGAAAAGTTATAATGTGCAAAACCTTTTATTTTGTGCTTAAACAGAGCAGCATTCATTCTTTGTGCAAAAACATGAGACAAAAGGAAATTAGGGTTAGGTTAAAAGTTTACTTCAACTCAGAAACTTAAGAAATAAACCTTTATGAACATGCTGAACAGCTTACGAAACATAGAATTTTAATATCTGCTTTAACCAGCTTTTTTCACACCGTGGAACACTTAGGTGTGGAAGGCTGTGTAACAGTTGTGATCTCCTTGTAAGCAGAGGAACACCTTGCACCTTGCACGTACACCTCACTCGAGTTTTCCCTGAGCAGCTTTTGGCTCTGCAGCGTGCTGCATTCATGTGTACCACCTCTGGCATATGTGCATTCCCATTCCTGCTCACTGAAACGTGTGGCACGGCCTTCACTGAGCGCCTTTTTCCTTGGACCACATCATCTTCATCGTCGTCTGTGAAAGCTCAGAGTTGTCACAGTCCAGCTGACTCAAGACAGTTATGGCTACATCCATCCGAAATTCAAGGAACTGCTGGATGTTCTTCTTTTCTGTGCCACCTACAGTGTGGTCTTTGCGGTACAAGAGCCAGCTGTTCGCTCACGCCAGATCAATCCGCAGAGTCCACTTTTTTGTTCGGCCACTCATGCGATAACTCATCATTCTGTCCATAAGATCAACACCACCCATCTTCGAGTTGTATTCTCAGACAATATTTGGTCGAGGGATGGTCACATATCTCTTACGTTTTTTGTCCCATCTTTGGCATGTGTCCTCTGGTTCTTTCTCATGAACAGCAGACATCATCAGTACAGGCTTGTTATCATTCCATTTGACAACACAAACCCTTCCATCCTCAGTGGTAACTTGTGCGGAGGTACCTCTTCCATTCAATTTCATCATTTTGTCATTGGGTAGATTCTGCAGCGCTGATGTAATCCAGTTCTTCATAACTGTGCCAGGTATGTAGATCTGCTTCTTCATCATTCGCTCCACACTTTGGATGGATGTGAAGAACCGATCACAGTAGACATTTGTACTGGGTTGTAAAGTTTGAGTAAGACACTCTAGGACCAAGCCACCCAAGCCCAGATCCTCTGGTTCTTCAACCTCCGCACCTCGATAAATGTGGAAGTCCAGCACAATACCATCTGCTGTTGCGCAGACAAAGTTTTTCATACCAACAGGATTGGGTTTCATTGGCAAATATTGTCGGCAAGGGCAAGCCCCTGTGAATGGAATCATTTGTTCATCGATGGAAACGCATTGCGGTCTTGCTTGAGACATGCAGCCTTTCAGAATGAGATTCAGAAAAGGCCTTCCAGAACTTGTCACTTTCTCTTATATCTTGAGGAACATCTTCATCAATGAGTACTTTGAGAAAAAATCTGAAAAAACGATCATGTGTGAACTTTTCTGTGATGGCAGGTAATCTTAGGGCTCTGGACCAATACATTCTGATTTCCGGATAGGGTATGCAAGACATTAAAATGCATGCACCAAAAAAGTGATAGATTTCCTCAATTGTGGTGTTGAGTAGGACCCCACCCCTGGCAAGTGACATAGCATTGGTGCAATCTGCAATACTCTTCATCAAAGCTTTGACTATATATTGTTGCATGTAGTCCAGTGAGGACCAGTTGTCTCCGTCCTCCTCAGTTTCCTCTTCATGCTCAAACTTTGACTGATTTGATGTTAGCGGATTAGGCCTCCATCGCACCCCACGTCCTTTCTTTGTCTGTTTTTCAAGGCTTGGTTCTGGCGTTATATCTTCAGGGATATTATTTGAGACATCAGCATCATCTTCGGTGTCCAGGACAACGTCTGGGAGTACATGAACTGGTACTGTCAAGCTTTGCAAAACGTGTCAATGTTTTGCAAAAGAGTTTAGAAAGATACGTTTCATTTTGGAAATGACTGCAAGATTTTTGACCAAACGTTTTTCAAAAAGTTTTTTCTTTTAAATAATGCCCTCGGTGGCATGGTGTTTTACAGAGCATGTTGTGTCTCATTCAATTAGAAAACGGTAAAAGCTGGCGTAATGAGTGCTTTTCTTGAGAAGGACAAGCTAAACAGCAGAGGGCTGTAATCTGGTGGTCTGATTTTATCCACTCTCCTCACTGGGCCACGCACTAGCTCCCCTTCAGCACACCTGGACAAGGGAGTGACAAGACAGAGAATTAATAAAATAAACAAATTGACAAACAAGGGCTAAATGTGACAGTGCTGTGTGGTGGACTTACCTGGATAAGGGAGTGACAAGACAGAGCGTGGTGTGCTTCTGCTGCTTAGAACTAAGTGAGTGTACGAGCTGATTACACCCATGCACACACAGCTCTACCAGGTTACAAATGGATTAATAACCGGTAAGAAAATGACATGTCAGATTAGGAACCACTGAGGCCTTTTATCATCACTCTTTTTAATGCAGTTGATTTATTGCTTTGTGTGATTGCTTCTATCTTGTTTTGTTTAGCACTTTGATATTGCCTCCAATTTGAACTGTGCTATACTAAAACATCAGTTATTACCTCACAAAAGGAAATACTGGGAGTAAAAATGTTAGAAAATACATTTAAATTAGCAACTAATTAAAATCGAGGGAAAGATATATATTTAAAGCTCTTAAACTAGACACGAAATCTGGTCTGATTTATACAATGCAACTAATTAAGAAATGTCAGCTGTATTTTGTTCTGTGTACTGTGATCTAACAAAATAAATACAATTTGACTGCAATAAACTATGCACTATACACAAAACCCTGGATCCAATGCAGTACACATATATATCTAAATTAATTATCTAATCTTTTTGTAAAAGTTAATTTAGATTAAAAAACAAGTAAATTTACACATAGATAAGAAAAACACTTTTATTATGTCAGTTTTTCTTTCAACCTCAGACTTCAAACAAAATTATATATTCTACTTCCACCAAATGTACCAAATGTGGGCTTTTGTCTGTTTGACAAACAGTGGCCATAATAACCTTCATGTTTTGCATATAAAAGGTAGTAAATGAGAGTAAGACAGGAAGCCTTTGTTAAAATGGGAGTCTAGCTGTAAACACAGTCGTGATGAGGTGTATAACAATTATCAACATATTAATGTGTTGCGTCGAACAGTGAGATCTCAGAGAACCATATTTTAGTCCATAATGTTCACAATTCCCTTCAGTCTCTGCTTTTAATAATATGACCGGAATGTGTCAGAAATGTGTAAAAATATCTTTCTCAAAAGGTCAACAACAAATTCCAGTTTTGTATAAATTCAACCATTTAATTATTGAAACTTGTGGCTTGTAGAAAGTTGAAAGGAAATTCATAGCAATATTCAGAATAATATTGTTCTTGTGTCTGGCAGGTTTAAAGGCAGTTCATTCAGCCGCTTCAGTCTCCTCGGATGGCTGTCCGGTCGCACTAGCTGCGGTCTTTGACGCCTGAAACAGAAAAATAAATTGAAACGGGTTCAAATCTGAGGCGTTCGCAGCTGGTCAGGCTATGCTTTATTTTTTAAACTTTATTGCACTTTATTGTCAGGCTAGCGGATGCATGCATCTCGTTTTTGCGCTTCATTCATTCACTAGCTATAGCTCTGTCTGTAAACACAGCCAGAAACTGATACATAGGACGCACCGTTAAAATTAAACTTTTTATTTGTGCCCAATACTGTGAAAAATACAGTACCTTCTTTTTCTTCTTTTTCTGTGTTTTGCGGCTTGCAGAACTTTGTAGAAGTGTCTGGAGGAAAAGAGGCAGAAATGTGAAACGAGACAAACAACTCAACAGTGTATAATTTATTTCAAATGTACATGAAACATGATCCAATGTCAGTGCATCATAAACACTAGAGCTCCCACAGCAGTCAATTTGACTGCTCTTAGTTTTTTAAGTATAAGGACTGATCTCCTGTGCGTTCTTCTCTTTTTCAAGGACAGACTAAAAAGAAACCCTCGCAGGATTACGAGTGAGTAACGTTACACTTCTGAAAACAAAACAAAATTTTTAATTTGATGAAAATTTTACAAGACTTATTTGTTAATTGCACTAATGGCCAAATGTTCACATTTTCCGTATACGTTCTGTATTTTATAAATAAAAACGTTTCTATATATTGTCCTTTTCTTAATCATGAAGAAATGTCGCGTAACTATTCCAGTTTTTGATGTTACAAAAATGGTTTGGTTCTTAACTGTCGTATCAATGGATTAAAAAAACATTGGGTTATACAAACTGATAAACGAGCGCGAGGTCTGTACAGAGAAATATCAGACCACGGTCTGATCAAATTGTTTTTCCCAATACGTATTATAACCAACTGAACCAAACAAAAAATAGTTTTGAAACTTAAATATTGAGGGGAAAGATCAAAAAAATATTTTTAAGGGCAAGGTCCATCTTCGGTGACTTTAAAGGAAATAGATTTAAAATAGAAATCGTCCAAAGCAGGAAATAAACTAAGTAACTTTTTTGCCATCTCGCTCAGCCCTAATGTACAGTATATAACTCACCACAATAAATTTTTTCAAAGACTGCTATTGAATCATTTACAGCTAGCAAAAAAACATAGCTACTTATTGTGTGTGCTCTTACTACTATCCTGTTTGTGCGCTGCAACATTGACATTTCCTCACTATGGGTTCTCCACCGACTCCCACTCATGTCTGCTACCGTTAAGTCCTTGGGCAAGCCCCCAGTTTGCCAGAAGCCCCTGCTGAAATATCAAGGCTATGCTGCCACAAATAGAACTGCAATCCTCCTGTGGACTCACCACCTCCAGAACGATCAGTGAGGGGCCGGTGCTCTGCGAATTGGGTGTAGCTATAATTGCCACCCCTGACTCAGGAATATATTAACCCATTGAGGCCGGGAAAGCAGACACTTCTTTTTTTTTTGACCCATTCTCTTCAATGATCAATTCTCTTGACCATTCAAGATATACCAGATATGAGAATTGTCTGCAGATCAGCGAATTCAGAGTTTCTCGCTGATCATTTCTGTGAAATGTGTGACTGTTTGCGGCTGTTTGCGTTACGTACTGGAACGGGATTAACATCCTCTGTTCAGACCTCGGGAGCAACTGTGGCCGCTTTGACCACAGGTCAACGAACGCGCAGCCATAACAGGGTCATGTACCGAGCGCTGACAATAGACGCGGACAGAATCATAGACGTGCGATCAGGACCATCCCCAGCTTGTTGCATGTGCGGGTCATGCCCGTCTCCATCTTTTTCCCACGTCTTCCAAGTCTCCTCACGATGCACAGTCAAAACTCACAGAATTAAAGCTCAGGTACCTACATTTTTGCATGCATTGACAATGCATGTTATTTGTGCACAAAAGTAAAATGTTTTGAACAAATCAAACAGAACAAACCACAACAGTCATGTTTTTTCATGACTTTTTGGGCTGAGTGGATTTTTTTAATATTTTATCCACATAGTACCACTTTATTGTCAAAGTCTTTTGGACTTATTTTATTGAGTGTTATGTGTTATTCTCACATTGTTTTTGGTTATTTTATTATCTGTCCTTTGTAGAAGTTGTATATTTTTTTATTCTACTGAAGGTTTATAATAATACGCTGCGTTCTTATTGAAAGCCACAAATGTCAGCTCTCAAATTCTTTTGAAATTATGTTTCTATTTGCTACAGAGGCCGAGATAATCATTCTGTAGACGTTGAATTTCAGGAAAACTTCAGGTTTCGGAGGGTGGTTCTAAAGTCGGCCGTAGGTTTTACTGTTATGTTTTACCAGGTGTGTCAGGCCTTTATGGGTTAAGAGAAATAAAATGGAGGGCCTCCTGTCTTACAGTTCAGAGTCATCCAGCCAACTCCGCCCACAGGTCTCTTATACCTTGTTGTAAAGCTCAGAACCTCTGAACTCTCTCGTTTTGTATGCACTTACATTGTGTGAGGACAAGGGTAATGTGGTTTGTGTGTGTCCTTCCATATTCTCTGCTTTTGTGTGAAACAGAGTCGTACCTTTAGTTCTGGGTCCTGCACCTCCAGCTCAGACTTGTAGAGCTCTGGCTCAAAGGGGCCGGAGGTGATTCTGTGCGAGCCATTAGCCATCAGCAGCACAGTGTATTTGAACTGAGCCACAAACTCCCCTGAGAGAGAGAGCAGAGCACTTTAGAACCAGACTCTACAATAGATCAACTGACACACATCTTCAATGACCTTCTTTCTCATGGAGCACGCTGAAGGGCTGGAGCAGCTCGTGTTTGGCACACTCTACCACTCCCAGACGAGCTTTTCCTTCATCCTCAAACGCCCTGAGAACAAAGACAACACGCAGCAACGTCAGTGTTTGGACTGTTTTCATATCTCGGGTCGGCAGTGTTAAAAAGCTAAGCTGAGGGACTGAAAATAAACTTCCAGGATAAATGAGGGTTTTTTTCCCCAACACTTTGATTAAACACTTCACACACTGTTCTAGTTTTAAAGATTTAACAATTACAATTTGCAGAACTATAAACTACAATACAACAAATAGATTCAATGATTAAAATGGCAGAAAAAAATTGAAAACACAAATTTGACTGAAATATGAAGATTAGTGTTAGAGACAAGAACGTCTTTCTCAGATTCACTTTCTTGCCAATTTCTGCTCTCCCTCTTTCCCGTCATTACCTGAGAGTGAAGGGCATGGTGTCAAAGCGCCTCTCCACTTCACTGAACAGAGTCCTGGAGGTTTTGATCTTCAGTCCGTACTGTTTACTGGGGTCTCTCTTGTAGATGGTGGTTCTTAAACCTGCATCTCTGGCCTGAAACACAAACACCAGGTTTTATTGAACCAGGAACAAAGTTCCAGGAGAGTCGTGGCCCCAGAGAGACAGGAACACATGTGTTTATTGGGAAGAAAAAACGGCGGAGACAAAGGGAGAACACGCAAACTACACAGACTACGAGAGTGCCAACAATGATCTTATAGTAATTAAGGTATATATCCTCCACCAGCTCATCTTTATTATTCAGTTATACTTAAAGGAATAGGCCACCGTTTTTACATACTGAAATATGTTCTTACGTTACCTTAAACTAGTTGATATGTCCCTGTCTGGTCTTTGTCCGTGCGCTCTGTCATGCAAACGGAGCACAAACGCAGCCTCTTCCACAGACTGTATAGTAACAAATCAGCTCCTGTTAGAAGCTACCAAACTCTTCCACGTTTTCCCTATTTAAATACAGTTACGTGACGTGTTGCCCTACAAAGTATAGTAACACAGAAATGTAACATGTCGATTTTCTCAGCGGATAAAAAAAGGATACTATATTGTGAGGCGTAATAAGAGGAGCGCTACGTCCGTGCAGTAACTCCTAAAGTCACGCTGCTTCTATTGACGGAAGTCAGCGGGAGAGAAGTCTTTGGGAGTTCGCAGATGAAGTGCTCCTCGTATTATTACGCCTCACAATATAGTACCCCTTTTTATCTGCTGAGAAAAATCAACATTTTACATTTCTGTGTCACTATACTTTGTAGTGTAACTGCTAATTTACACATCACGCGTTACAGCAAGTACGCGTTATACGCGCGTAACTTTTTTCCATGTTAACTTATGATATTTACACTTCTAGCGTTATACGCGTGTATGACGGACGTATGACGCGAAGCTGCGCTCTAATTTAGGATCAATTTCTATTTTTGTGCGCGCACCAACGCGTCTCCCATTGAAATCTCATGTAAAACATGATTTTTCTAGCGGTCCTTGGCTCTAGATCGCATCTACACACACACACAGCACTTGTGTCAGCAGGAGGAGCAGCAGGTTTTACAGTGATTCTGGACATGTTTTTTTTTTTCTTTCATAAAGTCTGGCGTCTGGCCAAACCAGCGCACAGAGACCATGAAGACAAACACATGCATGTGATTTGTGTTGCTCTACATCAGTCTCTGGCCCGTACTGTCCTCTACACTGCTCCATAGACTACACAGGGAGAGCATCAGAAGACGCGGACCTGCGCGCACGGCCAGTGTAGATACTCCAAAAAAATGTTACGCGCAGAGAGCGCGCAGTAAACGCGTACGCGCTGTTTACGCCTACTGTGTAAATTCCCTCTAACACGTCACGTAACTGTATTTAAATAGGGAACACGTGGAAGAGTTTGGTAGCTTCTAACGGGAGCTGATTTGGAACTATACAGTATGTGGAAGAGGCTGCGTTTGCATGACAGCGCACACGGACAAAGACCAGACAGGTACATATCAACTAGTCTAAGGTAAGAACATATGTCAGTATGTAAAAACGGTGGCCTATTCCATTAAATACCTGATATATAAAAAATAAAAACAAAAGTTTAATTTCACAAAAGAACTAATTATATTAATAAAGAGCTAGATTTATCTTGTAATGGAGTTTTTCCCTCAATTCCTTAACTTTAATTTCATAAGTAAAATAACTGCATCTTATCTGCAAATAGTAATATCAGTTGAAAATTATAGATGTAAAAAATCCAAAGATAACGTGGAGGTTCTCTCTCAACTCCTTTATATTTTATAAATTGTGTTTCTTCTTTTTTCAATTTTTTTTTTCAAATGCAAGCATTATATAAAGAGTTTGTATCTGATTGTTGTGCATGTGAAGATTTGCTTTTACTATTATGAACTTGATCAATGTAAATGCCATTATCCATGTGTGCATGATGTTTTTATGTTTTTTACTATAACATCAGCCTGCTCAGGGACTACGGGTGGAAATTAGCTCTTGAGCTATAACTTGGTACAATGCATCTCTCCCCTTGGGGTTAATGTTTATTGTACACTGTCCCTGTTTCTCTAAATAAAGAAAATTACAAATTATATAATTTTAAGCGTTTTTTTCAATAACGCTTTGTCATAATCATCTACACCAGTGGTCTCCTACATGTAACCTGAGAGTTACCAGTAGCTCACCAGCCTTTTCAAAGTACCTCCCAAAAAAGATATGCGTAAATTTTAAAATGATTCTTTAATGGTTGTGATGCCACATAACAAAATATCCAAAGAGTTACATATTTCCCAAAGAACACTTTGACCACCTTAAGATTTGCCAAAATAACATGTAATACATTTAAGTTTGTGTAAGCCCTCAGTCGTACTAACCTGGCAAAAGCCAGATTGATGATTGTGTAGAACTCTAACGCGTTCTCCGCGATATCAATCTGGGATTTCTCCCGGAGAATCCTTTCGGGGAAAGGAGGGGTAAGCAGCAGAATACTTGAAGCTGATTGGGCGAAGTGACGCTGTGTGCCCGCCTACCAAGGTTGCCGTCCAGAAATGTACAAAGCGCCTCTCGCTGTTCATCTTTCAAAAAATAAATTGGAGATTCTGCTAAAACTGACTTTGTGTCCGTCCTCCTGCGTAGCCATGTTTGTTTTGCTTCGGCCCGGCACTTCTTGCTTTCGTCAAACCCGGATATCCCGCCCTAAACCCCCAGACTGGCGCGTGATTGGCTCGCACACCCAGTGGTTCGACTCGAAAAGTGTAAGCGGGAGCGGTACAAGATGTATTCTCGAGTGTTTGTGAACTCACAAATACCGCGAGAATTCAGCTTGCAGGCAAGGTTACAGTCGTACAGGGATTAGTCAAAGCAAAGGAAGGTTTCTCACCCATCATCTGTACTTCTTCAGGGAATGAATTCTCGGACCGCGCGTTGGAGATTTATAACCTATGGGTGTGGTAAGCCACACCCTAATCCTGATACTAACTCGTAACCAATCTCAGGTCTGCTTGATGTAGAAGGGAGCAGGTCTAACGACCCTGCTGAGGCTAACGACCCTAACTCCTTAGCATGTCACAGACCTATTGTCTGCTGGGATGCTCAAGTGGAGTGCAGGTCTCACCCCTCCTAACTCATTAGCATGTCACTGACCTTGTCCCAAGTTAGGGCGTTGTTTTTAGGATGTCGTCATAGATGCGAGGCAAAACAAATCTTAACCCTCCTCCTCTGTTAAGAGAAGGTTTTTGTTTCCTCACAAAAATGGCTTCTTTCACCCCTCTCTCAAACCAATTCTTCTCCCGAGCCAGAATTTTAACCTCTGTGTCATCCACCGTGTGGTTGGAGGCCTTGAGGTGGAGATGAACAGCCGACTGTGGCCCACTAGAGTTTTCTCTACGATGTTGGTAAAGTCGTTTCTGTAGAGTTTGTTTGGTTTATCCAATATAGTGGTCAGTGCGCTCCTCTTCACTACATTTAAATGAATACACCACATTGCTCTGTTTGTGTCTTATCGTTGCCAACTTTGGGAGAGACGCCCTGGTCTTGGCACGCGGGTTGGAGAAAATCAAAAGAAAACTAGCAGACGCCAGAAATCATCTTAGGTTTAATCTTAGGTGTAGCCAGAGTAAACTTATCCCAAAATGTTTAAAGCAAAAAGCATTAGAAACAGGCCAGTTGGCAAGAAAAATACAACAAAACTACTGTATGAAGATTCTCAATTTAAGAATTCGACGACTTAACATAGAGATTATAAACCTAAAGGACGAGATAGAGGGCCTTAAGCACAAACTGGAATTGGCAGTCTCACCAGAGTTTTTTCAGAGGATTTGGACGTTTACGGAAACTGCCCAACTGAACCATCACAAGAAGGCCAAAGAACGTCAGATAGGCAAATTTCTAAAACTCCAAAACCATAATTCTTTTCAACATTCTGAAAGTGAAATTGGACAAGGCTTGGACAGGGAGAATTGGGTCAAAAATCTGTCTGATCGGCATTTATCACAAGCGGAAAAAGATGTTCTTACTAAAGGCCTAAATTTTGCAATAACCCCAAAAGATATTCCTACAATTGAATACATCACAGCAGCAGAAGCAGCCATTAGAAACAACAAACTAACTGAGAGTGAGGCAGGGGCCCTCAGACTGAGAGTCTCTGCAACACTCAAAAGTGCGAAGCCCCCACAATCCAATGTCTCATTAGATGAGCAAAAAGCATTATTGGCATTACAAAAGGATGAGAATATAACTATTTTACCAGCTGACAAAGGCAGATGCACAGTTATCCTCAACAGCTCAGACTATGAGGCCAAAGTTAATCAGTTACTCTTGGACACCAACACGTACCAGCCATTGAAGAGGGACCCTACCAGTGGGTTTAGGAAAAAGATTATAGACTTCCTTCAGAACTTAATGAAAGAGGGCATTATTGAAAAACCACTATATTACAAATTGTCCCCTGGGTAAAGACCCAGGGGACACCATCCCCAGTATTTATGGCCTCCCAAAAATACACAAACAAAACTTTCCACTTCGGCCTATTGTATGTAGCATAGACTATCACCTACAACCTGGCTAAACACCTCAAAACCATTCTGGCTCCTTTGGTGGGTAACACCCACCATCACATAGAAGACACAAAAGAATTTGTAAATAAAATCAAACACCTCCAGTTTGACACAGATGAGACAATGGTCTCGTTTGATGTGACATCGCTTTTTACGTCGGTCCCTATTACAGAGGCGGTGGAGGCTGTAAGAGAAAGCTTACAGAAAGACGCCACACTAGGGGAGAGAACGAAACTAACAGCTGACCACATCTGTGAAATACTTGAAATGTGTCTTAACACCACGTATTTCCAATTCAGAGGCACCTTCTTTAGACAGATGCATGGCTGTGCGATGGGCTCCCCAGTCTCTCCTATAGTGGCCAATCTGTATATGGAGAAACTGGAGGAACAAGCCCTGGGCTCTTACCAAGGGACAGCGCCAAGCCATTGGTTTCGATATGTAGACGATACATGGGTTAAGTTAAAGAAACAGGAAGTGGAACCATTTTCAGCACACATTAACTCGGTGGACCCTTTTATAAATTTCACTCGCGAGGATGCTAAGGAGAGTGAACTCGCCTTTCTAGATTGTAAGGTCATCATACTGGAGAACGGACAATTAGAGACTGAGGTCTTCAGAAAGTCCACTCACACTGACCAGTACTTGGCCTTTGATTCAAATCATCCGCTACAACACAAACTCGGGGTCATTAGAACGCTTCAACACCGAGCCCACCAGGTCCCCACTAGCTCGGAGGGAAAGAACAGAGAAACCAAACATGTTCAGAGAGCACTTTCCAGATGTGGCTACCCCAAGTGGTCTTTTACTAAAGCCCAAAGGACGAGAAAGGCCAGAGACACAATCCTACAGACAGAAGAAAGTAGGAGGAGAGGGGTGTCCTTACCGTATGTGGCGGGAGTTTCAGAGAAACTACAAAGAATCTTTAGGCAACACAAAATCCCTGTGTATTTCAAACCTTTCAACACGTTAAGACAGAAATTAGTGCATCCCAAAGACAAAACACCCAGACACAAACAGAGCAATGTGGTGTATTCAATTAAATGTAGTGAAGAGGAGTGCACTGACCACTATATTGGAGAAACCAAACAAACTCTACAGAAACGACTTTACCAACATCGTAGAGAAAACTCTAGTGGGCCACAGTCGGCTGTTCATCTCCACCTCAAGGCCTCCAACCACACGGTGGATGACACAGAGGTTAAAATTCTGGCTCGGGAGAAGAATTGGTTTGAGAGAGGGGTGAAAGAAGCCATTTTTGTGAGGAAACAAAAACCTTCTCTTAACAGAGGAGGAGGGTTAAGATTTGTTTTGCCTCGCATCTATGACGACATCCTAAAAACAACGCCCTAACTTGGGACAAGGTCAGTGACATGCTAATGAGTTAGGAGGGGTGAGACCTGCACTCCACTTGAGCATCCCAGCAGACAATAGGTCTGTGACATGCTAAGGAGTTAGGGTCGTTAGCCTCAGCAGGGTCGTTAGACCTGCTCCCTTCTACATCAAGCAGACCTGAGATTGGTTACGAGTTAGTATCAGGATTAGGGTGTGGCTTACCACACCCATAGGTTATAAATCTCCAACGCGCGGTCCGAGAATTCATTCCCTGAAGAAGTCCCCAGGTTGAGGACGAAACGTCGGGAAAACTTGCTATGTAATACATTTGTTATTTCTGTGCTGGAAAAGCTAAAGCTCTTCAAATTTCTTTTTATGTCAAGATAAAAACTTCTTAGCCCACTGCAGCCACAGTTTGTCTACCGTCTAAAAGGAGCCCTCAGGGATGGTGTTCGTACCTTTCCTTCCCCGGTGCTTATCAACACATCGATGGCATAGACTTCATGAACTTCAAATTCTGCTTTATCATGGTCCTTCCTGGAAACAAACTGCATTGTTCAGAACAAGTTCAAGTTCAGGAGACACTGACATGAGACAAACCTCTGCTGGTCTGTGGGGTTCTGGATGATGGTCTTCTCTCCATCAATGATGTGCTGTTTGAGCTGATGAGAAAGCATGCCTGCAGACACACAAGAACCATTAGAGTAGGGGTGTCTCAAACTAAGGCTCTCACTTTTCTCTCACTGGGTTTTTGTTCCTCTCTGATGCAGGAGGGTCTGGTATAGAAAAACCCATTACTTTTAATTCCACTTAAAAGACAAGATGAATTTTCCAAAGCATTCATATTTTCGGACATTGGTCTCTGCCCCTTATGGACAAATGGTTCCGTGTTTTATCATTGCATTTGCGGTGTTTGAACAGTTTGATTCTCTGATCGGTGCAGGTGAATCGACAGCTTTGTAAAGTCCTGAGATAACTACTGTTGTGATTTATGGCTGTAAAGAATGCATTGAATTGAACCCTCTCATTGTATATGGTCTTCTGCTCTGCTCATCATCCATCTCCAGCTCAGTCACTGTAGGCCTGTTGCCCCTTGTGAAGCTAAGAACATCTGGAATTTAAGTAATTCATTCGTATTTACTGACATTAGTTTTGTGTCAAACTGGTGCAGATGCAATGTTCAAGTCCAGTACTAAATATGTGACCCTTTACCTTCGATGGGAGTGCATTTGAAAGACTTGGCGATCTTATTCCAGGCCTCTGTCACAGGTGTGTTCTGAGGAAGAGAGACACATAAATATTAAAAACTTTTTGAAAGTTATAAATATGCATTTGTTTTATATACACCGCTTTTCTGGACTCTCAAAGACACTTAAACCCCATCCCAATTATCACCCTTGCCCTAGATTTTGACCGTGCCCGCCGGGGTTGTAGGGTGTCCCAAAGAGACCAGCAGGTGAGCTCCCGACCACATTTGCATGCTCAGGGGTGATCCCATGATGCATTACAATAAAAAGTAGCTGTTTGAGTAGCAAATATGTGCGGAACATGTGGAAGCATTGAAGCGCGTGTGAGTAATTGAGGTTTTTTAAAGCGTGTGTTTGTGCTGTATGTGGTGATGTTCGCCCGCGAATTGCCACAGCATGTGACGTTCACTGAGGCGCTTTAGAGACATAGATGCATGTTATAGATCCATGATGTAGATCAGAGACTGCATCGCTTGGACAAGTTGCCTTTTGATCCGCGGCTGTACTCGTCTCTGTGCATATGTGCAAGTGAGTGATATGGAGCAGTCCTGTACCCAATTATAGCTAATCTTCATATGAAATACAATAAAAAAGCCTCATTTAATAACTACTTTGTTTCATTAAGTCTTGTGTGGTAAATTCAGGCTGAGTTTACACAGAGACAATGTGGGAGTAAAACAGTATAGTTGGATGTCTGTTGCTACCAACCGTTCATACAAAGACTGTTCTAGGGGGGTCAAAACGTAAGTGTTCAGATCCAGCCTGTGAAGTGGGACAGCTCAGATACGCTTCACAGCAGGGAGCTTTTTCACACCCGCGAGAGGGAGAAAGGTGTGAAATGCCCCTCCGCTCGGACCCCCACCTCTGCACTGCTCCCCGCACGAACATTTGGACATGCGCAGTAGCGGAGAACAAACGTAAACATCAATGGCGGCGGGCACAGTATCTAGCTTCGTGGGCTTTGAGCACAGCACAGAGGATAATTGTACACCTTCGTTCGTCCGAAGGAGACCACGCAAAGCTCTAGGTTCAGTTTCCATTTTCACAGCTGCTGTTAAAATGCAGAATGATGTTGGTGCGTTCTTCCCCGTCTTTCCAGAGGAAGTGCGTACACTGCAGAGGGGGGGTCTGGGGGTCGTGTGAGTGTTGTAAAGTTTCACTGCCCACTACTGGCCGGGCGCTAGAACTACATTGTTTTTCTAACTCGTATGTACGCTGAGAAATTTGCATTAGGAGCCTGGTCGTTTCTGATAATAGCCTGGAAACGTCTTCGCAGAGTCTCAGTATAAACATGGCCTCAGACCGATCGATGTTGCGCGTGAGGTGGAACACTTTTGCTGCATCAATTTGCATATAGCGAACTATCTAAATGACGTCACTAAGACACGCCCCCGCCGCCTGTCAACTCCCGCCCACATGTTTCGGACAAACACTGCCGAAATGAATCAAATACCACTTGTCACTTTAGACGAAAATGATATACCAGGGGCAAAATTCCACCATCAAACCATCAGGGATCATAGTGTAGACCAATTATAACGTTGGCTTGAATGTCGTGGTCTTCCAGTAACTGGTAGACGGTTTGAATTGATAAAAAGATAATGGTGAGGATTATGCTAACATTATCTAGTCATTTAAATTGCAATGCTAGCGCCTTCTTTGTTTGTTTTGCTGTGATTAACTTCCATTTATCAAGTTGTTTTTGCACTATCCACTTTGTAATTAGTTTGATCATTAGTTAGCTACAGTCAGCTGATATTATAATAAATCCATGATCACAACGGGTTACGCCACTGTCTCTGAGAGAAACTATCAGAGCTAGCCAATGTTAATGGGAGAATACATTATACACATTCATAACACAAGTGCACGGAGGTTTTCAGAATTAACTGTTCAGGTTTTCATGACAAAAATACTTTTTTAATGCGACTAAAGCGATCGCTTTTAGGTTAACTATCCTCACTGTTACTCGCCTGCCACGGGAAAACCTTTGGGAACTATTTTCTTTGCACTCATTAAATAAACCTTTCGGCATGAGTAGTGAATGACGTTTATTTTGTGTGTTCAATTGGTACAAAGCCGTATAATAAGCAGACACAAAGTTGAAAAAAATCCCTCTCATCTTTCTTCAGGTGTGAGAATTGTATACTTTCTGGATTAGGACAAACAATACTAATATGGATTGATGGGGGTAAATGGTGTAAAGAGAAAGTTTGTGCTAACTACATTCAGAAGAGCTCAGACGGACCTGATCCAGACGGTCCAGATCCAGTCCCAGCTAAACGTAGCTAGGACTGGATCTGGATACTCCACAGTTGGTCCAGCGAAGTGTTTTGAAAAAACATGTGCCCTTTTTAACCTTTTCATGAGAGAAATTCTGCCGACCACAAGCACCCACCTGGTCTGATCTGGTCCTGGTCTGGTCCTGGTCTGGTCCGATGTTGTGGTTTAACGAACGGGTTGAATGTTACTTTCATATAGTCCTTTTCAGAGTATCTGAAATCGCTCCGACAAGCACCATAACTGCAGTGTTTTGTTGTCACCATGATTCAATGATTTAGCCCAAATAAATACACACGCGTATGAGGAGAACACAGTAGAACTCAACGAGTCGTACACAATGTTTGTCCGAAACATGCGCGCATGCGCAGTCATCTGAGCTATTTTTAGCACATTTCGGAAACCGGACAGTGCCCTATTGTCCCCTAGATCCATGGGTGTCCCATTTCTGAAGTGGCATTTAGACCGGAACATGCATTGCGTCTCGTTTCTATGCAAAGTCAATGGTGTCGTCCGATTGTGCGTAGAATTGCATGTGTATGGAGGCACGAAGCTTTGTCCTGCGCAGACTTGATGCATGCAGCAAAAGCAGGATATGAACATTTAACTTTTTCTGCTGTTCACATGTGCGACGACCAATTAAAGTTGCGAAGATACTCGTAAACAGCCTTAACAGGAGCTAAACCAGGACTAAATCAGGACTGACAATTAGGGACACAGTGCTTGTGAACATACAGTGCCTTGCGAAAGTATTCGGCCCCCTTGAACCTTTCAACATTTTGCCACATTTCAGGCTTCAAACATAAAGATATAACATTTAATTTTTTTGTCATGAATCAACAACAAGTGGGACACAATCGTGAAGTGGAACGAAATTTATTGGATAATTTAAACTTTTTTAACACATAAAAAAAACTGAAAAGTGGGGCGTGCAATATTATTCGGCCTCTTTACTTTCAGTGCAGCAAACTCACTCCAGAAGTTCAGTGAGGATCTTTGAATGATCCAATGTCCTAAATGACTGATGATAAATAGAATGCACCTGTGTGTAATCAAGTCTCCGTATAAATGCACCTGCTCTTTGATAGTCTCAGGGTTCTGTTTAAAGCGCAGAGAGAACCATGAAGACAAAGGAACACACCAGGCAGGTCCGAGATACTGTTGGAGAAGTTTAAAGCCGGATTTGGATACAAAAAGATTTCCCAAGCTTTAAACATCTCAAGGAGCACTGGGCAAGCAATTATATTGAAATGGAAGGAGTATCAGACCACTGCAAATCTACCAAGACCCGGCCGTCCCTCCAAACTTTCATCTCAAACAAGGAGAAGACTGATCAGAGATGCAGTCAAGAGGCCCATGATCACTCTGGATGAACTGCAGATAACTACAGCTGAGGTGGGAGAGTCTGTCCATAGGACAACAATCAGTCGTGCACTGCACAAATCTGGCCTTTATGGAAGAGTGGCAAGAAGAAAGCCATTTCTCAAAGATATGCATAAAAAGTCTCGTTTAAAGTTTGCCACAAGCCACCTGGGAGACACACCAAACATGTTGAAGAAGGTGCTCTGGTCAGATAAAACCAAAATCGAACTTTTTGGCCACAAGGCAAAACGATATGTTTGGCGTAAAAGCAACACAGCTCATCACCCTGAACACACCATCCCCACTGTCAAACATGGTGGTGGCAGCATCATGGTTTGGGCCTGCTTTTCTTCAGCAGGGACAGGGAAGATGGCTAAAATTTATGGGAACATGGATGGAGCCAAATACAGGACCATTCTGGAAGAAAACCTGTTGGAGTCTGCAAAAGACCTGAGACTGGGACGGAGATTTATCTTCCAACCGGACAATGATCCAAAACATAAAGCCAAATCTACAATGGAATGGTTCACAAATAGACGTATCCAGGTGTTAGAATGGCCAAGTCAAAGTCCAGACCTGAATCCAATCGAGTCTCTGTGGAAAGAGCTGAAGACTGCTGTTCAAACGCTCTCCATCCAACCTCACTGAGCTCGAGCTTTTTTGCAAGGAAGAATGGGCAAGAATTCCAGTCTCTCGATGTGCAAAACTGATAGACATACCCCAAGCGACTTGCAGCTGTAATTGCAGCAAAAGGTGGCGCTACAAAGTATTAGCGCAAGGGGGCCGAATACTATTGCATGCCCCACTTTTCAGTTTATTTGTTAAAAAAGTTTAAATCCAATAAATTTCATTCCACTTCACAATTTTGTCCCACTTGTTGATTCTTGACAAAAAAAAAACTTTTTATCTTTGTTTGAAGCCTGACATGTGGCGAAATGTTGAACGGTTCAAGGGGGCCGAATACTTTCGCAAGGCTCTCATTCTCCTGTGACAGTAAACAAGTGCTGCTAATGTGTTTGCCAACATGGAAATACCGTTTAATAATAAAAACACGTATGCCGCACCTTTGCACTTTCCGCCCTGCGTTTTGGGGAATCGCAAGACAGTGCTTCAGATTTTCTAAACTCATGCAGCTGAAATTTAGAGAATGTGTGTCCAGTGTGCGTGGTACCATAGTTCAAGCATCGGCGGTGTGAACATAGCTTTAGGGAGAATATCCTACGAGTGCCATCCCCTTTTGGAGGGAAGTTTTTTGTTGAGGGCACTCATACCTCAAGTGCCCTCAGAATTTGGACGGGCCCTCATTCATTGTCGTCAATATTCTTTTAATCCAAACAGTGGTGATAAACAAAAGTAGCCACAGCTGCCCTGCGGCAAAAAAAGCGAGTGTTCCAATCACTGTACTAACCAGGCCCTGCTTAGTTTCATAGGTCTGTCAGGTACTGGCTTTCACCTACAGATATGGCCACAATAATGCAAACACTGTCAGTCCATTCCCAATATAAAGTCTTTGTGCCAGATAGCAATAGTATCAGGTGAGAGAGGGAGAACACAGAAGTAGGTTAATTGTCGCAGCGATTGTACCTGGTTTCCCGGTCGGACGAGACGCAGAGCTGCCTCCGCACAAAGATGAGCCGCTATGATGACGTCAGCTTTACGGCCGGTGACTGGGTTCTCCTTCACAGACAGGGTGATGCAGAGACAAGTCAGAGGCAGATGCAGAGACAGAATCAGAAGCAGGGACAAAAATGATGCAGAGTTGTGGATCTGCTGTGTAAATGTCAGTTACCTTACTGGATCCTACTACAAAACTGTGAGCAACATTCGCAATGAAGCCATCCACATGAACTCCCAGGTCTCTGCGTTCAAGGAAACAGAGACTTGTTAGAAAAGAAAAAAAAAAAAGTGTATTGTACTGTTTTTATTAATCAAATGTGATGGATGATTATATATATATATATATATATATTATATATATAATATATAAATTATAGACCAGAGAGAGACCAGAAAAACCAGAGAGAGAGACCAGAGAGAGAGGATTAAAAGGCATATTATTCCCCTTAAAAGATTCTCAGACAGTAATAATATAAAGACGGACTATCAAGGCAACAAGTTGTATAAATTCTTGCTTTATTATGCTAAAGTCATACAGTACAGACCAAAAGTTTGGACACACTTTCTCATTCAATGAGGTTCCTTTCTTTTCATTACTATTGACTGTAGATTCACACCCAGGCTGTGTAAGGGCTATTTGTCCAATAAGGAGAGTGGTGGGTGCTGGGCCAGATGACCTGGTCTCCACAGTCACCGGACCTGAACCCAATCCAGATGGTTTTGGGGTTGGACCACAGAGTGAAGGTGAAAGGGCGAACAAGTGCTAAGCATCTGTGGGAACTCAGATCATTTCAGGTCCTTTTGAAGCTCATCAAGAGAATGCCAAGAGTGTGCAAAGCAGTAATCAGAGCAAAAGGTGCTACTTTTAAGAACCTTGAATACAACATATTTTCAGTTGTTTCATACTTTTTTTTTAGTATGTACATAATTCCACATGTATTAATCCAGTTTTGATGCCTTCAGTGTGAATCTACAAATTTCATAATAATGAAAATAAACTCTTTGAATGAGAATGTGTGTTCAAACTTTTGGTCTGTATATATTATATTTGTGTTATTGTTCATTTATCTTGTGCTGTGTGCTCCTCATTCCTACTGTTCTGTAACAGGTGATGCAACACTGACATTTCCCCACTGTGGGACAAATGGGGGATCTATGTGAAAATAAGTGTTGCGCAGGTTTTAAATAAATCTTTAATCCGATGCTTTAGAATAAAACTCAGAATTAGTCTTTACACTTTGACCAGGTCCCCGTCCTTCAGGATGCAGTCAGGGTCACTCTTCAGAGGAGAGAAGTGGCAAACACAGTGATTGACAGAAACACTGGTGGGAAAGGCAGGACCTGCAATTATATGGCACATTATACATAACAATATTAGTGCTGAACAATATATAGCGTTTAACGCAAATTATTAATGAAGTGATTTTTTTATTATCACTTCATCCCCTTGAGTTATTGTGTTGACAATCAATTTGTGTGACCAACTTTAGTTTTTCATTAACCCTTCGAGGCCGGGAAGCCGTTTCCCATTTCGAGCCGGGAGCGCTGTTAATAATTTATTTTATTTCATAGCGCCTTTCAAGACACACAAGGACGACTTACAATATATAAGAAACATCACACACATAATTAAAAACACAAAATATAAAACATAAAATTACACACAAAAAAGCCAGTTTAAAAAGGTAGGTTTTGAGATGTGATTTGATTTGTCCACAGAGTAACTGTCGCAGGTCAAGCGGTTAAGTGTTCCAAAGTTTAGGGGCAGAGTGGCTGAATGCTCTGGCCCCCATCGTGGGCATTTTGATTGTGGGGACAATGAGGAGAGCAGCAGATGAGGAGCGGAGAGATCGTGATGGGGTGTACGGGTGTAACAGGTCACTCAGGTATGAGGGGGCCAGGTAATGGAGAGTTTTGAATGCGAGGAGGAGTTTAAACTAGATTCTGTGGGTTATGGGAAGCCAGTGGAGTTGGGTGCAAACAGGAGTGATGTGACCAATTCTCTTGACCAATGAAATGCATCAGGACATACCAGGGATAAGAATTTTCTGCAGATCTGCGAATTCGGACTTTTTCCCGCTGAAAATATAATTTCTGTGAAATGTGTGACTGCGGGCTGTTTGCGTTCTGTACTCAAACAGGATTCATATCTTCCGTTCTGACCTGGGGAGCCACTTTGTATTGACAGCCATAGCTCAGCGAACACGCAGCCGTAACATGGTCATACCGAGCGCGGACCATAGACGCATGGACAGAACCATAAACGCTCCATTAGAACCATGCCCAGCTTGTAGCGCGTGCGAGTCTTGCCTGTCTTCCCCGTCTCTTCTCCCTAAACGCAGCCAAGACTCACTGAATTAAAGCTCAGGTACCTACATTTTTTGTTTGCATTGACAATGCATGTTATTGGAGCACAAATGTAAAATGTTGTGAACAAATCAAACAGAACAAATCAAAACAGTCATGTTTTTTTTATTTTGCTGAAAGTGCCCTGTGAGTCATTTGACTTTTTGGGCTGGGAGTGGATTTAAAAATAAAATAAAAAATCCAAATAGTTAGTGCCACTTTATTTCCAAATTGTTGTTAACTTATTGTGTTGATAAATATATGTCAGGCACACATTATTTTTGGTTGTTTTATTATCTTTTCTGTGTGGAAGTTGTATATTGTTTGTATTATTCTACTGAAGGTTTATAAAAATACACTGGTTCTATAGACAGCCATAGGTTTTACAGGTATGTTTTACCAGGTGTGTCAGGCCTTAATGGGTTAAGCTGTAGCCAGTAGAGGTGCAACGGTTCATCACTGATCCGTTCGGTTCAACGTCTTCGGTTCGGTGCAGACGTGATCCGTGGTTTGATTTATGAAAAAAAAGTTGTGCGAACGTTGTTCAGTCCACACACAGCGCGGTCATTGCGGGCGGAGGAACGGATATGCGTGAAAGCCCCGCGTCATTTAAATCCCCAGTATGAGAGCATTTTGGCTTCACTGTAACTACACTGATAATTAATATTCGACAAAACTGTCACGATGTGTAAGCACTGTGGCACAAGAAAGACATGAGTGAAAAAGCGTCTCAACGACCCCTTATTGCAGCGGCATTTAAGCAGCTCCTTTACGCACAGTCAGACCGGGCTAAAGTCAACTCTCCCGCGCATCCTCAGCTGCGCTCACGACTGACGCTTGGACGTCCCACGGAACCTATAATAGATTCATGAGCGGAACCGCTCACTTCATCACCGCAGACTGGGAGATGAAAAGTCTGGCGCTGCAGACACGCCCCCTCTACGACAGTCACACAGACACACAGCGCAGGTTCTGACACAAGCAGCGGAGGAATGGAAGACAAAGGCTCAGTACTAATATCCCAGTCACAATTGATAATGCCAAAAATTAAATAAATGCAGTGAATGAGGCTGGACTGGGCCCAGAATGGACCGCCTCCTCGGGAGAATCAGGAAGGTGATTTAATATATGAGGGTAAATACCCTCATAAAGTGCCTTTTTATGTTGCACTTTGTGTTGTTTTTCATTAATTATGATAAATAGACATAATTGGATTGATGGAATATGCCTTCCATCCATCCATCCATTTCCTTCCCCTTATCCATTTCTAGGTCAGGGGGGGCAGTCAAAGCAGGTGCCGAGTCCACATGAGCTGTGTTTATTGAAAAGACAAAACTTTTTTTTTGAAAAATGAACCGAACCGTGGCTTCTGAACCGAGGTATGAACCGAACCGTGATTTTTTTCAAACCGTTGCATCCCTAGTAGCCAGTGTTAGTAGTGTTAGAAAAAAAACTCCCCCCCCCAGCACTAGTGGACAGCACTAGTAGAAACCAAACAGAATAGATGCCAAAACACATAGAAGTTAATGGTACATACATTTATATCGTAACAGCTGAAGGCTTTGTTTATTATACTTAAATTTTGCGTTTGCATGCATTCTGGATTGGTTGAATCTCATGCCCTGCTCACCTTTCTTCATCTCCTTCTCCCTCTTGAAGACCTTTGCAGTTTCCTGGTTGATGTAGGCATCTCCCTTCTCACAGAGACTCAGCACAGACACCTCTGGACTGGCGGCATCCACAACCAGCTTCAGCGCTCCTACAAGATAACAATCGAAGATACGGAAAATTAAACATGCATCTGCCTGTTGGGATCTCTGGAAACTATTTTAGATACTAATGGATTCATATCAGTACTATGATCTTATATGAACAATCACTTTTAAACGCAAGTTAATAATATAGCATAATAGAAAAAGGTAGCCCAAGGCACTATAATGCAGAGATTAGCTCAATAAATAACATGTTTGCCCCATTTTCTAGAATTTATCAAATCTAATCTAGATTACAGAAATGTAATATTTGCTATAGTATCAAATAACACCCAATTTTCAAGGGACACACTATGACAACTGGAGTTTATTACCTATTGATCCAGTGTGAACTCCAGGACAAGGAAAGAGGTGTTGGATTTACTAGACCAGTGTCTCCCAAAGTGGGGTCCGCGGCCCCCTGGTGGGCCGCGAGGGTACTGCAGGGGGGCCGCGGGAGGTCATTAAAAAAAAATAATAATAATAATGTAATTATTTTATGTTAAATTTATAATGTTTTGTTTGTAATATTAAAATATTTGTGTTCATTATTTGACTTTAATGATCCACTGTAATCATTTTTGTATTGCAATGTTTGTAGCAGAGGCTATTTCCCCAAAATAAAATAACCAGAAGAGCCTATTCTTAATGTTGTCTTCTTGGTTATTATTTTGGGGGGCCACGCAGACCCGTCATATTTTTAAGGGGGCCTCGGTGTTACTGAGTTTGGGAATGGCTGTACTAGACCAAAAGGAGGTGAGGAGTTTATGGAGGTTAAATGCAACAGAAAGCAGTTGGGGTCTGAACTAGAGATTCAATGTCTTGGGGACATGACATAGCTATAAACGTGAATATACTGCCATTCATATAAGAATTAAAAAAACTAAAAAAGAAAGATTTTAGGATTTAAAAGGGAGGGAAGTCAAAGTCCAAAAACATACAAACACATTTAACAAGAAGGGATTTTATCGCTGCATTTCTTATCTTGTTTCTTACAGCAATAGTAGACCATTTCCGCAACTTGAATGTGCATCTTTGAGTTTCAAAACGAATAATGAGACTGCAGCCATTGTTACGAAGAAACAATATATTAAACATAAAAACTGGGACTATTGGAAGTATTATAACTCCTGCATATATGTATCAGAAAGATTAACCCAAATCTGGAAAATGTTAACTGAACTAGACATACAGCAACAGGCTCTGGTCCCTTTTCTTACTTTAAGAATCTGCAGCTCTTTTCAAAAGCACTTTTTAAGAGTAACGTTCCCACAGAGCACCTGCTAGCTAGCTGTAGCTGCTAAGTGTCACACACGGCGGCCGCATGAACCACATGGTGCCGAGGTCCTGTGCCCAGAGGCCGCCAGTCCCGCCGCTAAAGCCTCCCCTGGAACCCACTAAACACGCCCTACTCACGGTTGGCGATCTCCCCGGCCATCTTGTACTTGGTGACCACCAGATCCTCCGCAATAGTCTGCTCGGGCTCCTCGTCAGACATGTTGTTGGCAGTGAAGTTTCAGCAGCTTGCGCCTCTGTGTGCTGATGGTGATGCTAATGCTAATGCTAGTCAACGTGCCGCTTGCGTCAACCAAGCGCCGCCCTCTGCTGACAGATGAGGTGACGTCAACATTTACGCGCCAAAACCTGACGGTTTTTATTTTGTCATTCATCTGTTTTAGGTACAATAAATGCGTTCCTTTGATTGATTTTTTTTCCTTCTAATTATTGCCAATAAAGCTGAGACTCAGGGCTGTCAACTCAGTCGGATTGGTTCACAACATTTTTTTCCCTTTTACTCTAGCTTATGTTACTATCTTGTCAAAGTGTACATGCTGAAAATATATAGCTTTTACATGTTTGTAATGTTCTTTGGACACATCAGCTTTGCCCTGAGAAAAAGCAATAATCGACTTCACTCTCTCTTCACTACGCTTCTCTTCACTCTTTCACTACTATATTCATTACTGTGCTTTCTTTTCTATTTTACATTTAACTGTTTATAACAAAATATTGTGGAACTTTCTTCATGATGGACAAATATGCCAGAATTATGTGGATCAATTTCTTATCCTGTGTGAAGGAGATGGGTCCCAAGTCTCTCCTTCCTGCTGCTGCCATACTGTATGACGAGAACTGATGAGTCTGTGCAATGTCACTTTATCTACTCATTATACTGTCAGAAATGAATATAATTTACACTATGTATAGATATATAAACATATATAGATATACATATGTTTGCTTTTAAGAAGCATTTAAAGCTAAGAAGCCCAGTGTATATTTTGTGTGCTCTTACAACTGAAATGTCAAAAGGGGAACAAATATTCATCCATTCATTTTCTTTCCCTTACTCCATTTCTGGGTCGGGGGGTGGCAGTCAGAGCTGCACCCAATTCACATAGCACCAGCCTCTCACTGATCCTCCTGGAGGTGGTGGGTCCACAGGAGCCGAGAGCTTTCAGTGGGGGCTTCAGGCAAAGTGGGGTTAAGTGTCTTGCCCAAGGGCACAAAGACAGCAAACATCAGTGGGAGTCGTGAAGTAGGTTTCATGGTGGGCTCAAACCCACGACCATCAGGCCCAAACGCCAATTCTATACCAACCGAGCCACTGGAGACTGGGAGGGGAATAAATACTGTATACTCAGGAAAAAGCCAAAAATTAATATTCAAAATACTTTATTGAACATAAAACTTACAAATCACAACATTATGGACAGAAAAGTTATATTATTTTACAAACGCATTTGTTCTTCAAAGACATTGTTTTTTGTAAACAACACACAACAATAGCTTGTTTTAGTAAATTTCTGATTAGTGCTAAAACTCAGTGCTGTTAGCTTTGGAAATGCCCATTGTCCTGAATGAGCACATACTGTCAGTTCATACAGAAAAATATATCTATTTACAAAGTGGAGAAAAATAGTGTAGCTACATCATTGGCTTTGGAACGATTTCCATCTAAAATCCTTCATTAAAACAGAGCAATTAAGAGACGCAGGGACAGTGTCACAGACGGCATTTTGCATCTTCTGCTTTTCCACAAATGTGTCTTAAGCAACAACACAGGGAATTATTCAATTTTATAAATGTTTCTGGACATTGGTCTCTGCCCCTTATGGACCCAAGGCTCTATGTATTTGTCACATTGCATTTACTGCGTTTGATTCCCTGATCTGTTGTTGATTTGCCTCAGAAAGTCCTCAGAGATAACAACTGTTGTGATTTAGGACGATACACAAATACATAGAATTGAACAGTCTTGGTTTATTGTTGATTTTTTCTGGGGATAGTTTTTGTTAATGAAAGTTCTGAAACAAACTCTACTTTTCTACTTTAATCTGAAGTGGTAACACCTACCAAAGCCCATCAGACCTCTGAAGTTCACCAGGGGTGAGCTAGATTAGTACTGGGATGGGAGACCCCTGGGAACACCAAACTGAGGAGTTAACGAGAGTAGTGCCAAGTGGAGTGGTGTAGAATAGAGTAGAGAAGGGCCAAATAGGGCTGGTGGAAACTGGGCTTTAATCTGCTATATTGTCAAGCCATGAACCATGTTGTTTGGGTTTTGACTGATTGTTATGAACCTCTGTCGACCTCAGGCCAGGTTGAAAACAAACCATGTGACATCACTCCTCTTCAGTTCACAGTTCTCTTCATGTGGGCACGGCGCTGGTCTTCAGGTACATTCTGCTATGCCAATAATCCGGGTTATCAAACGACCGATCCACAGAGGCAGCGTCCCCCGCCCCCACCCCCACCCCTGCTGCCACCTTTACGTAGCCATTGAATCCGCTCCGTGGACCTTCAGAATTCCCACCAAGGTTCTGATACACAACCGTCTCACCTTTCCTCATGACAGCGTACGAGTCCATGTCTTCGTACTGCTCCTCCCCCTCCTCCCCTCGGACCCTGAGCTGATTCTGCAAAGCTCTGTGAAGTTTGGGCTGGCTGTTGGTGTAGCTGTAGTCATCGTCAGAGTCATCGTCAATGTGGATCTTGGACGGGATCGGCGGCGGGTCGTGAGCGGGCGGGGACTCTCCGTTCCCCCTGATGTCCATGTACTCATACTGGACGTCGGCATTCCCAAACGGCTCCAGGTCGGCGGGATTGAAGGAGCCTCGGTGCTCGGCTGTGGGGGTGATGTCTCCAGAGCTGGTGGTGGCGTACGACGACAGAGATGACGTGCGTTTCTTGTTGGTTTTGTGACGTTTGCTGACGTCGTGCGCTGATGCTGAAGAGCGCTGTCTGTTCATGTATTCATACTCAGCCTCGTCAGGGTCGTCCAGTAGAGGAGCCGACGAGGAGTTCCTTATTGACCTGAAGGAGAGACGCCGCGGACGAGACAGCAACGTGTCTGCAAAACAAGGAATATTACATTTATTTCAATTTAATTTATTTGTGTACATTACAACAAAAAACTCAGCTGTCGACTCGCAACACAGATCACAGAATCCAAAATAAACACAGGAAATGCAATGATAAGAAACACACAGAGCAATTGGTCCATAAGGGACAGATGATCAAGAAAATATATTATCATTTCAAAATACAGATATTAAACTTCAGGCCTTCAGCAAAATCCTTCCACTAAAACAATTACAGGGCACTAAAGCCTCGTTTCCACCAGCTCTACTCTAAGCTACTCTACTACACTTCCTGTGTTTGTATTCTGTATACATGTCTGTCAATATACTGGAGAAATTATTTCACATTGAAAAATGTGAAATAGCAAAGTGTGAAGTCATATTTGAGGCTCGGGTATCAAACTTCATTCTTGTCATTATTAACACATGTTTATCTCATCAGACAGTTAATTTTGTCTATTTGTTCAGAGAACTGATGGACTGAGTGAGGGGTTCTTCCATTTCACTTTTCTGTCTGAAGAAGCTGATTTACAGATGTGACAGAGGCCATACATGAAAGCTGTGAGTTGAGAGCTAGGAAATAGTTTGAAGGATTGCATGACATAGTTAAATTTGCGTGGTTTGAAAGTTAGTTATCCCAGCTTTAAAGAATAGAGTGCAAAATATTTATCCTATGTGTGCATAAAGTGAATATAGTGACCTTTCTCTGGGCTGTCTCGTGGGAGCACGTAGCCGTAGTGGTCCTCCTCCTGCAGCTCGGTGGACGGTGTCTCCGTGTCCCCTGACAGACTGTCCTCTTGGTGACTCTTCAGCATCACACTGCCCCGTACAGGCCCCTCCTCACTCTCTGCCTCAGCCAAACCACAGCCCTCTGAGCTCTCAGAGACCGTACAAGTGGAGCGAGTGGAGTCCAGACGGGAGCGAGTCTGGAACAGAGACACAAACACAGAGAAGACTCTGTTTAGAACATGTTTACAAGTCTATGTCCTCAATTCCCAAGTCTCCAAGATGTTTGTCCCTGGTCTCTCCGAGATGTCTATCCCTGGTCTCTCCAAGATGTCTATCCCTGGTCTCTCCAAGATGTCTATGCCTGGTCTCTCCAAGAGGCTTGTCCCGGGTCTCTCCGAGATGTCTGTCCCTGGTCTCTCCAAGACATCTGTCCTTGATCTCTCTAAGATGGTGCCCCCTGGTCTCTCCAAGATGTCTGCCCCTGGTCTCTACTAGATGTCTGCTCCAGATCTTCCAAAACTAAAAGCCGTAAAATGTACTGCTTTGGGAGCTCTAGTGTTAGTTAAGTGTCTGTGATCTCATAATCATAAATGAATGCATACCTGCACATGTGCATCCCCTCCAGGGGTCATGGGGAGATAACCAGTCTCTCCAGCAGCTGGTATCTGCACCTGAACAAAGGTCAAGGTTCAACTTCATTGTCCTCAAAGAAAAGTTTGTCCAATTCTCTAAATGTTAATATTGTAACATGACCACATTTCATCTGTGAAATGTTAGTGCCATATGAACTAACTCTGAAGAGCACAGGGACTGGCCTCCAGAGTCAAGACTAAACATGGGGAGGCAGCGTTTCATAGTGTTGTGCTACATTTTAATGTCTGTTTTTAATTGACATGTATTGATTTTTGTTTGTGGAGCACTTTGGTACTAATTGTTCTTTGGAAATAAATTGGTTGAATATAGTCCCTTTAACTAACCAGAAACAATACAGAGATATGAACTATAAACCAGATGAACACAGGAATGTAATCAGACCAACAGCATGAGAAGATACAGACTAGTGACATTAGTTACAGTTAGTGATATTGTTGCTTTTACCCGGTGGCTGTCCATGCGCAAGAGGCGGCTCATGCTCCTAGACTGGGGCAGGTACTGAGGCGGAGCCACAGAGACTGGGTCTAGGTCCATGTCCAGGTCCTGGTCTTGGTCAAGAGCCAGGTCCAGGTCCTCGAGCTCATCCAGATCCACACTGCGCTGGACCGGATCGTCCAGGGCTGGCTCGGGCTGACCGTACTCCTCCTGCAACAGCAGAAGGACGAGTTCACACATGGTACATGCACTACACTGGTCTACATGGTCCCCGGTTTAGAACAGGGGTTTGCTCTCAAAATAACCCACTATAAGCGAAAAAAGTTAAGTAACAGCTGTATGTTTTAAGGCTGTAAAACCTTCACACCAGAGAGAGAGCAGAGAGAGAGCAGAGAGAAACCAGAGAGAGACAAGAGACCAGAGAGAGAGAGCAGAGAGAGAGCTGAGAGAAACCAGAGAGGGACCAGACAGAGACAAGAGACCAGAGAGAGACTAGAGAGAGAAACCAGAGAGTCCAGAGAGAGACCAGAGAGAAACTAGAGAGAGAAACCAGAGAGTCCAGAGAGAGACCAGAGAGAGAGTAAGAGATCAGATAGACACCAGAGAGAGAGACTAGAGAGAGACTAGAGAGAGACCAGAGAGAGAAATTTATATTCCTATATCTGACCTTGATCACCAGGTATCGAGGCGGATCCCTGGCCATCCTTGTAAACTCGTTGGCTAGCTCTTTGAATGTGGGTCTGATATTCTCATCAATCATCCAACCTGCACCAAACAATTCAAATCAGTCATTTCAAGAAGCAAAAAGTTCCACATCATTAACTGTAGAGTTAATATACATGCTTACATTTGACCATGACCATGTAGACGTCGATGGTGCAGATGTGAGGCTGGGACAGTCTTTCTCCTTTCTCCAGGAGGTCAGGCACTTCTTGCGGACGCATGTTTACGTAGGGCTCCACTCCGTAGGACATCATCTCCCAGATCGTCACTCCTGAAGCCAGAGAAGAGAGTTAGTCCTGAGTCCACAACCTCAGTCCTGGATCTACAGCCACAGTCCTGGATCTACAGCTTCTGTCCGGGATCTACAGCTTCTGTCCTGGATCTACAGCTTCTGTCCTGGATCTACAGTCTCAGTCCTGTATCTACAGATTCAGTCCTGTATCTACAGCCTCATTATTGCAGATCCTGTGCTTGAACTGTTTGATTCTCTGATCTGTTGTAATCTAAGGTTGTACAAAAATGAATGTAAGTATAAAAACAAGAGAAAACCACATGGGACTGCACAAAACAACCATCACACAGTACTTATTGCTCTATTGTTGTTTCAAGATAGTGATCCACAACAGAAAACAACGGGTTCTGAGATGTTGTTACAGCCTTTTCCCTTAAAACACAAAGATGATAGATAGAGTCTT